AAAACCATTACAGTGCTGGCATTGCCATTTGTCTTTAAGAGACTTGTAACACAATGCATTTGTCTGCATTAGCTGGAGCAGCAGCAGAAGAGGAAGGACGAGGCTTATGTCATGATGGATGCATTCCGCATCGCCTTTGAGCAGCAGCTGAGGAGAGTCGGTGAGAACGTGCTCCGGCAGGCTGAGACCGACAGACACCAGACACATAACCAAAGACATGAGAAAGGTAAAGGGCTGCTCAGTTAAAGGGTTATTTCATCTAAAAATGACTATTTATTCACCATTTACTCACACTCAAGCGCTTCTAAACCCTGTATATATTTTATTCTTCTGTTGAACACCAAACTATGGAAGACAATGCTTTGTGTTCAACAGAAGAAACTCAAACAGGTTTAAAGAAAGTGGAGAATGAGTAAATGATGGCAGATTGTTCAGTTTTGGGTTAATTAGCTGTTTGTGTCAGTGTAATGTGTTTAAAAAGTATTGTCTGAAAGTTAGTTACACTAGGGATGTTTGAATCTGTCATTTTGTAATCAATTCAGACACTAAGCTGATTGTGGGAATTGATTTGAGGCTCTTTAAAAAAGAGTGGATGAATATGTTGACCTGATTTAGCCATAATTTTTAAATGTTGAAGACATTTTTGTAATTTAAAGCTTTACTTGAATATATTACTTGTAAGGTGTCTGTTTCATAAAAAGTTGTTGTTATGCCATTGCATGACATAGTAAAAGATCTGTTTTGTTTTGTTTTTTATCAGAAACTTACAAACCTCTTTAATTAATTGAATTATACTAAAAAAGGCTCAAAAAGGGACTTAATTTCCTTCGATGCAATTGATTTCAACCTTTTTTTGTCAAATGTGAAATCACCAATCAAATCTTACACAATGGTGTTGTATGTGTGTGTGTGTGTGTGTGTGTGTGTGTGTGTGTGTGTGTGTGTGTGTGTGTGTGTGTGTGTGTGTGTGTGTGTGTGTGTGACATATCAGGACACAAATCTGTATAATGACATGTGTATGACACAGGTATTACAAAAAGGAAAAAAGTGTGTGTGTGTGTGTTTTTGTAACCGGCAATATGTGAAATCTAGCATTGAATGCCTAGGAAATCTGTAGAATGCCTAAAATCGAGCTTCAAAGTATGAAATGATAGCTACGTTGTACATTGCCTAGGCATTCTACTGTATATGCCAAGTTGCCATATGGCAAAGTATGTAACTTACCCCCACCATTTTTCCCGCCACTGATGTTAGCGTTGATGCTTGGGTCGTTGTTTGATGATGGCGATCAAAGCATGTGAGTGTTAAATGTTATTGGCTTTCCTGCTGCAACAAGTAGCTCGTTCCAGTTTTGTTTTGCTTGTTTTTACCAATAACAACATCCTGTCCTTTTTATTTAGCAATTCATCACTAATTTGTGAAATATATGTTCAAGACCAAAGTATGACCAAAATATGAAGTGTTGTATGAAAGAAGAAATTTAAGTACAATTCTAAGTGCCATTTCAGTCTTACCTACTGTAACAAATACTTTAGTCTCAGTTCTGCTGTCATTGTCATTCCAGTAAGAACATCATATGTTTTGTTTCATATTCCTTCCACTTTAAAATACGTAATGATCAATAAAGGCTTTTGTTGTGCTCTTCTGACACTTTGGCTAAATGATATTTGTCATTCTGTAGAATCCCTAGGAAAAGTATACAAAATCTTTACAAAAACTTTGCCTAAAAAGGCATTCCATAAATTTTTAACAATGTTAACAAGTTCTTAAGCTTCAGGGGATGTTTAGACAATTTTCAATCTGGTTTCAGAGCACATCATAGTACAGACAACACCAGTCATTGGTTATATATAAATATAATCAATGATATCCGCCTCAATACAGATTCAGGCAAGCTAACAGTGCTGGTACTCAGTACTGCATTTGACATTGTGATCACAGCATACTTCTGGATAAGCTGGAAACTGGGTTGGGCTGTCTGGGACGGTCCTCAAATGGTTTAGATCTTACCTTGAAGGGAGAGGTAACTATGTCAGTATAGGTGACCATAGGTCAAGGTGGACACCCATGACATGTGGAGTCCAGCACCTCTCCTGTTCAATCTTTTATATGCTCCCACTGAGCCAAATAATGAGGAAGAACCAAATCTCTAACCACAGCTATGCTGATGTCACTCAGATATAAATAGTCTACTGCCTAATGACTACAGCCCCATTGACACCCTCTTCCAATGCATTGATGAAATTAACTGTTGGATGTTGGAAAAATTTTCTTCAGTTAAACAAAGAGAAAACTCAAGTCATTGCATTTAGGAACAGAAATGAGGTTCTCTGTGAATGTGTACCTTAGCACTAAAGGTCAAACAACAAAAAATAAGGTCAAGAATCTTGGTGTGACTCTGAAGTCAGATTTGAATTTCAGTAGTCATGTCAAGCATTAGGTAAATCAGCATACTATCATCTCAAAAACATTGCAGGAATTAGATGCTTTGTTTCCTGTGAAGAATTAGAGAAACTGGTTCATGCTTTTATAAGCAGTAGGGTGGATTACTGTAATGGACTTCTCACTGGCCTTCCCCAAAAGACAGTCAGACAGTTACAGCTCATGCAGAATGCTGCAGCCAGGATTCTGACCAGAACCAGGAAATCAGAGCACATCACACCTATTCTCAGGTCTTTAAACTGGCTCCCAGTTACATTCAGAATAGATTTTAAAGTATTATTACTAGGACCTCAATACATTACAGATTTGCTCATTGAATACAAACCTAACAGATCCCTCAGATCATTAGGATGAAGTAAATTAGAAATTGCAAGAGTTCATTTGAAGCAGGGTAAATCGCCCTCCCCCCAAAAATTGCCTTGAATTGCCTTCCTAGGCACTCTATATAATACTAGAAATTCACACATTGCTGGTAAAATGTACACCAGGCCAGAGCATTATTTTATTACTTTAAATATATTATTATATACTAGTATCTTATTATATACTATTTATTCTTTAGTTAATGTTAATGACATTTTTATTAATTTTCTTTTAGCTTACTTTCTTAGTAGTTTTGGTATGGTTTTTACAGTAATTTTAGACTGATATCATATTTTTTATAGTCTTTTTTTATTCTATTTAATTATTTTCAATAAAGGAAAGCAGTGGTCCCTCACTGTAGGTGAAAGGCTAAAAAAAATTCTGCCCACAACAAGTGACGGAAGGATACCAAGTGACTCCAGTGAAACACTGCATATGCTACTTGATCTGGTCAGTTTACTTTTCTTTTTATTCTGTCTTCACATATACATCTGTCACTCATATTGCATTGTAAATGTCCTCTTTTTGATTGTCTCCTCTTTTCAGTTAAATGATAAAGAGGAGGCACTGGCACATCAGAGGAAGGTTAGCTACATGTTGGCACGAAACACTGAAAACTTAGAAAAACGTCTCCTGATGCAACTAGAAGAGCTGGACGTATCACATGAGGAGAGTAAAACAAAAACCGTGGCTTCTGAGGATTATGAATGGAGCAGAGACTGTAGATGCTGTGCTGACAGCTGTGGATCTCAACACCTCTCTGTACCTGATGATAAACAGACTTACAAAGCAAATCAACCACCCTCTGAAAACAGACCTGAAACTAAACCTGACAATAAAGATGCTTAAAAGATCAAGGTTGTATATGAAATTCTTCAAAAGCAAAATGCCTGCATTGTTTTGTATTCATGTGGCTATTCCTAGGATAAACCTCAAAAGCAAGTAATCTGGTATTAATCTAGAATAACAGAACAGAAAATAGTCATAATTCAAATCTCAAACTCATTAAAAAGAGATATGATAATGAATAATGCATAAATAAATTGATTAGACAATTGAATCCTCCCCATTTATGAACCAGAAGCCAACAAACGTAACTGACAATGCTTACAAAAAACTATTTTATCTTCTTTACACTGACTGCCTGTTAAGTTCCACATTGTTGTTTACAAATGCATTACAAAACATTGCTTCTCACCTACAAGTCTTTAAATTGTCTAGTTCCTGTTTATTTAACTGGCCTTCTCTCTTTAAGATCCCTTTTTGAGATCAGGGCTTCTGATAGTACCCAGAATTGCAAAGTCCACTAAAGGAGGTTGAGCTTTTTCATATTTGGCTCCTAAACTCTAAAATATGATAATGTCTGAGGCTCAGAGAGTTTAAAGCCAAATAAAACCAGGACTTATCTTTTTAGTAAAGCATATACACAGTGCATCGTATAATCCAGTGAAACACACCACTTCAAATGCATTCTTTCACACTAACAATATTTGATCATGTTTGAAATATTATGAACAACAGCTTTTTACCTCAGAATGCCCATTTCAATGCCTCTAGAGATTGTGCAGCACCACTCGATCAGATCCAAGATCTGTGAAGAGATGATGTCAACCCTATGAGGACATTGAGGATAACAAATAAATAGGATAAAAAGGCATCACCTTTTTGAAAAGAACATAATGTATTGCATAACTGCAGATTAACTACATGTATGTATGTATGTATGTATATATACTGTCCACCCTATAATTAACTCCTTGTATAATGTAATAATGTGCACCTGTTGTAAAGCTGCTTTGGACTGCCACCAGTCTCCATTTTAATTTGTCTCAATAACGAAAGACTAAATTAAAATTGTAATAAAATAATGCTAAGCTGACTATATATAATATAATATACACTAAATAGTATGTTTAAATTGTTTTAACATTTATGTTTTGTAATGATTTATTTTTGCAACTTTTAAAGAAATAGTATTCATAATATTATTTATATTATCCAAACTGCTACAGTATATTTCTGCGTCGAAATACGTTAAAGTATTGAAAATATGAAAAATAGTAAATGACATAATAGTATATTATGTAATTATTGTAAAAACGTAGTATTAAAGTATAGTAATAGTTAAATCCTTGGTACGATATGCACAGCAGTGAACTACAAGTCCCATAATGCTTCAGGTTACCGGTTTCCGTGCTGCTTAAAAGCTATGTTTAAAGTAGCAATGCAGCTGCTATGTTCGCAAAATATAAATACTGTTTATAACATATGGGTTTAGTTAAACATAAATTGTACCGTTTTATCGCATGTGCTGCAATTATCGCATCTTTAATCGTTTTCTACCTCAAATTACAGTCAATCTCCAAAGGTAAGGAACCTAACGTCAGCTAACTTGCTAGTTCGCCAATCAAAATGACATTGTTGCAGTGGTCCAAAAACAGTGTAAAACTAAACTTGGTTATGTTGCATAATCGTAGGATCAATGAGTGAACAAACACTAGAATATTTCCTCAACAAAGGAACGATAAGGAGAAAAGATGCTGCTGATATTGAGTGGTATCATGCAGCTAACAGCAAAAGCAAACTCATAGAGGCTCTTCGAGGTGAGTTTACGTAGCCTAAAGATTTTTGTATCTAACGTTACTGTTTATATATTTCTCATGACCACATGCTCGATTTTATGAAATAATGTGTGTATTGATCTATGGTATGGATCATTGTTGGGTAAGTTCCTTTATAAATATATTAATTACTAGTAAACACATCATTGAATTGTATTGAAATGTATTTTTTAATTACTATGTTTAAAAATTACCACATAATTTCATAAGCAACCATGTAATTTAAATAAGTTAACTTAAGTTAAATTACTTGACTTAATAACTTAAGTTAAATTACATGCCCTTAAATCTCAGAGACACTAGAAATTAAACTTGAAAAATGAAAATGTACTCACGATTTACTCATCCACAAGTGGCTTCAACTCTTTATGAGTTTCTTTCTTCTGTTGAATAGAAATAAAGATATTTTGGTGAGGAAATAATGACAGAATTTAAATTTTGGGGTGAAATATCCCTTTAAATGTTAAAATTTGAACCAAACAGGACCTTTTAGTTTTATTAAATCTAAATAAAACATCAAGAACAGTCACTTCACTTGTCATGTAGTCATAATAGTCATATTCACTTGAAGAAAAAGAACACTTAAACACTTTCTAACTGCAGAAAAAAAACATTTCTAACTGAATTATTTCTTGAGCATGTTCAGTCATCTTGATAAATGTAACCTTTTGTTGAAAGATTATGCAAAATAAACAGAATTTGTAAAAACAAAAACAAAAATTTCTCAGCTGACTTTCTCTGAATTGATTCATACAGAACTGTTGAATTTATGTATAGTATTTAAGGCAAGTACATTATAAGTAAATGTAGTTAATTATCTAAAGATGAAAAGTAAACACTTACTTTACATTTTTGGCTGAAAAGTTATTTAGTTACAGTAACAGCCAACACTGGTATTGAGCGTATTTCCTCTTCTGTTCCTGGTTGAGGTTCTGCACAGATGATTGAAGCAGATGTTCTTCTCAGGGGTGCCGATCCAGAAGAGCCCATCATGGCTCACCCACCTGCCAAAGACAGCGATATAACTCTGCAGGACTGGCTTAAAGAAGTCGTCAAGTCAGACAAAGGAATAAAACTGGACTTTAAAAGGTGATGAATTTATTTATTTTAACCACACAGTGTTTTAATCTAAATATAAAAGCATCTTTAAGTGAAGTTTCATAAACTAATTTCGAGAGGAGCACGTGATATGATTGTGCACCGCTGGCCACTCATCCGTAATCAGTTATAATCCAATCAGAATGATCCTAGTTTAGTATAAATGGATCACTTTCTCCCCATTGCACCATCTTCATTTTGGAAGAATCCCCCCTTCCACCCCATCTCCTCCTTTTTCTCCCCTTCTAAAGGGCGAGAGATCGAGACCTACCTGATCTCGGTTCTCCTGATATGCTTCTAGACCGGGCGGGAGCCCTGGGCTCAAATATCTCCGAGCTCAGGGTTCTCTCCCGGGACAGCATGCCAAACCTGCTATAAGTGCCAAGCATATCTAAGTGGGAACTCTTGAAACATAAAAGGCAGCACAGAGACCAAACCTGAAGCTTCATTTTCATTTTCAAAAATGTTTATTATTTTTAAATCGTTTAATACTGCATATTGTCCTTACCCCGAATTCCTAGCAGATTATTTGTTGCTTGTATATATTGATTTATTTTGTTGATGAATGAAAGCCATTTTGATCGACAGTCTGGCAGCTGTATCCCAATCCATGAGTCTGCTGGAAGAGGTCCGAGATCAGCTGAAGGGTCCTGTGTGGATTAATGCTGATATTCTTCCTGGTCCTGGTGGAACAGCCACCCCTGTGGACCCTCATGTTTTCCTGCAGGAAGTGGCTCAAAGATCAGAGAATGATGTTCTGTCTTTGGGCTGGACCACTGGATGGACTGAAGATGTAGACAATCCTGGTAAGATCATTGTTATGTTACCTGAGTAACCAGCACTTTAAAAAGTATGAGTTTTATTTTATTTATAATCGGAGATGTGCGCTAGAGATTCGCGGATGGGCTATTATTTAATCTGCAACCGCATCATAAAACTCATCATCCGTCCGCCATCCATCCGCACTAACATTTTTGACCAATTTTTAAAACCGCACCCGCCCGCCATCTGCTGACTGAGCTCTTTATTTGAATGGCTTTTTCCTTTTTATTATTAAATGAATGTTTCTTTATTGATTATTAGAAAATAGAGAATGACTTTAATGACATGCAGTTAATCCAAACGTGCAAGTCAAATCCAGCATTAATTGACGCTTTGAAGTGACGCTAAACAATATGAGGACGTGTCTTTTCACTTGATTCGATTCCTCAGTCCTTGAGGTTTTTTTTTGCGTCCTTCCCTCGCATCCTATAGGGGTGGAAAGACGAGGAAAGAAAGCAAGGAAATGAAACAAGGATACACAAATAAGAAATGAGAAGCACCCTATAAAGCTCTCAGAATATCAGCAGTGAACTCCGTCTCCAATCGGTGCACGGGGACAAAAATAAATTAATAAATAGCCTAAATGAAACGCACTGTACTGTACAATTTTTTTTTTATTATTGTAGCCTAATAGAAAACGCATTTTGACACATCATTTCAACATTCAGACGAGAGCGCCTGGCATCTAATGCGCCCTGCTGCACTGAAGGAGCGCTCGCTCGCAGCACTTGTGGCTGGAATGCATAGAATTCTCTTGGCAAGGGGCTGTAGACGTGGGAATGACTGCCTTGTTTCTCCCAAAAGGAAAGTAGATTTTCCTCTGCTGATCTGTCTATATTTAATTTTGTAGAGGAAGACTTCTGTACTTCATCCAGAATTAGTGTATCCGATTCCTCCTCTCATTCTGTGAAGTCAGTCCTAGGCTTTTTCGTTGGTGCGCCAGCTATGTGTACAAAACAGTACAACCGCCCACTACCCGCCCGAATTTAATTAAAATATAATTTTTCGTCACGTCATCCGCCCGATCCGCGGTTTATCCGCGGATTCCGCGGCTGTAACCGCCATCCGCGCATCTCTAATGTGCGCTACATGTATAGTGTATTTACAGAGTAAATTGTTTTTTTTAAGTTTATGTTTTCACAACATGGGACAGTGTACATTAATAAATGTTCCCCAAGAATGTAATTGTACCTAAATTAGCCCGAAGACTAGTTTATATATTTATGGTCCCCAAATGTTAAAGGCCATACCAATAAAAATACAAATTCAAACAAAAAAACTATCACAACAACGTCAATATCAAAAAGCCTAGTGTTTAAATAAGCAATTTATACTGAAAGAACAAAAACTGAGATTATTTTATTTCAAAAAGATATACTGAATAGATCAAAAGTGACTTAAAATGCATTTGTAATGTTCCAAATAACATCAAATGAATATATTAGATTGATTTCTGAAAAATAAGGACGCAGAAATTTTAAATTAGGATTATAAAATCATGTTTGAACTGAAGAATCAATATTTTACTAAACATTATTCAGCTAAAACTATATACTTGTATCAGATCATTAGGGAATGAATGAAAAAGCAGTGTTTTGAGTTTTATCATTTTTCTCATAGTGTTTCTTCAGGCATCCTTTTTGTAATTAAAATTATTTAGAATTATTTAAAACGAACAACACCAAAAGTATGATGCTATAGATAAATAGATTTAATTTAAATATGAAACATTTTTAATATATCAGAATATAAAGATAAAAACATTTAAATGGATTTAATTAAATCCCATTAAATTGATAAACCATAAAATTATCACCATTTATTAAAGCAAACTCATTTCTTAGAATTGATTTTCTAAAGCATCAAAACAGTTTTATCATTACTCTGAAAAGAAGAAATACATTATATTATTAAAAATTCTATTAGTCTTAAAAAAAGCTTTTCTATATAAAGTTTAATTTGCACTACATATATTCAAGCTTAACAAACTCCAGCCTTTCAAAAGTTTGAGCTATGGGGAAAAGGCTAAAATGTTTGTTTTTTTATTTGATCTATTAATTTAACTTTTTAGGTAATTTTACAGAAAGTATTTTTGACACCTAATGATATACAAAAATAAACTTGTGAAAATAAATGTATGCTTTTCTAATGCTTTAAAAAGTTCTGTTATTTCTTTATGAAAATATAATGTTTATAACTTGAAGTGTATATTTTAAGCATTATATACAAGTATGCAAGTAAATGTGTATATTTATACATCGATTATTCAGCCTGTAAATCCAGTCAGATTGGCGTGATGGTGATTTACCTTCACTGGCAAGTTTGTCAGCATCTATTTTGGACTGTACTTGTACCAGGAAAAAGTGCTTAGAATTTTTGCTCACAACTTTTGCTCTGGCTTTCTTTTGTGGATTGAGGTCTTAAATCTAAAAAATTTTTTTAGACCTTGTTGAGTGTTTGCTCTCTGAGTTTTTTTTCTTCTGTGAAACAGGTTACAGCTGGGAGATGGTTCATCAGATGGAAGAATTATGCAGACCCCTAAAGCAACCCGTCACATTTCCAGTCCGAGCATCTCTCCTTCCAATGTCCTTCCCACAGTTCCAGTGGCTTTTAGAGCAGTCAGACCGGTCAGAAATTCTCCATTAATAAGCCTATTTAAATGTACGTCCATATTTACCGCTACAGAGACTATTAAGCCGTGCATCTGTGTGAAGGAGTCTTTCTATTACCTCGGTGATTGATTTATGTTATACAAGCAAGGACACAATCAAGTTCACCCTAATGCTTAGTAATTTCTTGCTGGATAATTTGGTTCTGGCTCATCTATTACACTTGTTTGTGACTGGAATAGCAACTCTTCTCTTTCTGTGAAGAACAGTGTTGAGGTATAGCAGGATGTGAAGATCCAGTAGTCTTCTGTTTAGGTTCTTGGTTTCCATCACTCAGAACTAACAAAGATGTTTGAATCCTTTCAATTTGAAATGATGGTTGTGCTTTTGATTATATCAGTGGTCCCCAACCTTTTTGTAGATTGCTATGTGACCTTCAATCGGACAAAACATTGCTACAACTCTGATACAAGTTTTATCTATGGAGAAAATTAAAAGCACTGCAGTGCTAACGTTACTGAAATGTGTATAATCCACACAAGATGAAAGTTTTTCAAAACAAATGATCGTTCAGACTCTGATAATAAATAAAACAGAAGTAATTAATAATTAATAAATGAACAATAGCACACTCTCATTTGAAGTTCACATCAATAATATTACGCATACTTTATATTTCCACCTGCATAACATCACTCATCTCCTTCTTTCTCTCACATTCAATAACAGCACGTCTCATCCATGCAATAGTTACTTAATGTCTTGACTACTGTAATGCACTTTCAATAAGCTTCCTTTCAAACTTTTCCAAAAACTCCAACTGGTTCAGAACCATGCAGCTTGTGTCATCTCTGGGACTTCATCTCATGAGCATGTCACACCACTTCTTTATCAGCTTCACTGGCTTCCGGTAAAGTTTTGGATTGATTTTAAAAATACTACTACTCACTTTTAAGGCACTTCATAATCTTGCTCCACAATATCTCACCAAACTTCTACATACTTGTACTCCTTCTCGCACTCTTAGATCAGCCAACTCTTTCTCCCTGGTGTCACCTCGCACTCGATTAAGCACAATAGGTGCCAGGTCTTATAGCTCAATGGCTCCTCATCTATGGTACTCGCTTCTCCTGGACCTAAGAAGACCTCAAGATCTCAAGACCCATCTTTTTAAGCAGGCTTTTTTCTTTACTTTCTTTAATCCTTTTATTTTATATTCATGATACCTGCAACTTCTTACATGCATTTAAAATTTACTTTGGCTATGTTTTATTAATTGTTTATTAATTTGTTCTGTTATGGCTGTGCATGCTTGTTGTAAGGTGACCTTGTTTGTCTAGAAAGGCGCCATTTTCAAATAAATAAATGAATTTCTTGTGCGGCCCTGTATCTACTGATCCACGGACCGCGGCCCAGGGGTTGAGGACCACTGGATTATATGACAATTTTTTATTCAAATTCTATATAAAAGTTCTTTTATTTCAGTACGTTGATGTTCTTCTGACTGAAATGTAATGCAGTGGTCTCTCGTTAATCGCGAGAGTTAAGTTCTAAAAAAAAATAATCCGCATTAGGTGAAGTCCTTAAAGTAGTCAGCTTAATTATTTTTTTTTTTTTTTTAGTTTTTATAGGTGTTTTAAGGCTGTAAAACCCCTCACTACACACCTTATACACTTATTTCTCAGACAGGCGTTAACATTTTCACACTTTTCTCTCTAAGGCCAGTATTATAGAATGAAGCCAAAGAGCAAAACCTGTTTTCAGGCCCAAACATTTGTTTGTGAAATAAAGATATAAATGTTTTTCTATAAATAATACTGATGGATTTTACCATGTCCAGAAGTCCAACTTTTTGTGCGATGGTTAGCATCTTCCTCTGCCTTTTGGGTGCTATCGCAGGTGCCTTTGACGGTGTAGAACATTTCATCGACATTGTGCGGTTGTGAAAGCTTGCAAACATACAGTCCAGCACATCAGAGTCACACTGCTAGCAATTAAAATTTTTTACCAATTTGGGAAGCTGAATACATTCTGTACTGTACAGGAGACAGCATGCAGGAGATTGATTAAAGATAGTCTACAGCAAATCAGGACGCAGAACACAATGCACTGTAAAAAATAATAATAATAATAAATTGTACAAAAAAAACTGCAAGGCCACAAAAGCTGAACCACATAATAGCAAAGGACCACTGAATTGAGTGGGGGCGGAGCTAAAAATATTATGGCTGAAGCGTCAGACTGACATCAACAGAGAAGTACTTACACCCCAAATGCGGTAGCAAATGGTCAAACTTTGATTGAAGATTACCAAAACAACAAACTTTTTTCTGTGAATTTTTGTTCACCTTAAAACTAACAAACAATAAGTGCAAGCAAAATAAAACATTGTACATTATGATTTTGCATGGACTTTAAAAGTATGGTGAAGACGATTGTGTTGTGTTTTAAAGTTGGCCATTTTCATGTGATTCTAAGTTTTTTTATGTGTGTGTGTGTGTGTGTGTGTGATCTCTTTCAGGTACAGCCTGACTGTATGGACAGGAAAGGATGATGCTCTAAATGTGAACGATTTGATGCCCTACAGAAAAAACCTTGGCAAGAGGAGGATCTACTATGATCTTTTAGAATCACAGATCAAACAGTTTAAAGCACTAGCTGGCTACGACTAAACAAAGCTCTTACTCTTACTGATGTTGACTTTGAAATGTAAAACAAAGACACATAAATGTGCTGTAACACAGATATGTAAATATTCCCTAGAAGAGAACTGTGAATTAACCTATTGATGTACATAATTTGTAATGAAAATAAATTCTAAAAAGTACTATATTTTTGTAATCTATATTGGCATTGTTCAGTGTTTTGTATGTTTGCATTTGATGTGTTTGCACATTCATAATAAAAGTTGTGGGAAATGTTTATATTATTGATGCTTCTATACTTTTATGAACGTTAGGGTCAGTAACTTGTTTTTACTTGTTTGAAAAAAGTCCGAACAATGTCTTAATGTTTTTGATTACAATTTAAGTAGAAACAGTAGTATTGCGGTATTGTGATGAATAAAATATTCTAAATCATATTATTTATTTAAAATATTTGTATGTAATATATGCTCTCAGTTTTGGTCAGTTTACAGAATTCTTGCTAAATAAACATTCATTTCTTAAAAAAAAAAAGTTGGATTTCCAACCCCGTTTAGGATACTTCTGTTGAACAAAAGAATACATTTTAAAGGAACCTTATCACTCGTATGGATAGTAGGGAATACTAATACTGGCAATAGTTTCAAGCTTTCAGATTTCTTCAAAATATAATCTTTTGTGTTCAACAAATGAAACCTAAACAGGGTTGGAACGAGTAAAGGGTGAGTAAATCCTGGTCTGAGCTGGGATTGAACCGGCGGTTCTTTGTATAGAATTCGGTTGCTCTAACAAGGAGGCTAAAGAGCATGACTTCTTTTCTCACTAAAACACCTTTAGAGGTCAGAGAAGTGAGGTTTACCTCCATAGCACTTCACTAACTGGCGTCTGTTACACTAACTCTCCTAAACCTCACTTCCATCCTGGATGAGCCCCATGTGTAACCCACTGGTCCTATTGCGCCCAACCTGTTCTGAGCTGTGATCAAACTGGCAATTCTTTCTATAGGAGTCAGTTACTCTAACAAGGAGGCTGAAGGCCATGGCTTCTTGTGTCTGTCACTAATACACCTTTAGAGGTCAGAGAAGTGGGGTTTACCTGCATAGCTCTTTTGATTTTGCTCTTCAGTGTTTGAACTCTCAGTAATGATTAAATCACACTGAACTGAGCTAAACTGAACTGAACTGAACTTAAACACTAAAACCTGAACCACACTGTTCCAGTTACTGAACCACACTGTTCCAGTTACTATGACCATTTATGTGAAGCTGCTTTGACACAATCTACATTGTAAAAGTGCTATACAAATAAAGCTGAATTGAATTGCTGGCCTCCATTACACCAAAGTGTAATGTGTAATCATTACACATTACACTTTGGTGTAATGGAGGCCAGCTATCAAAGTGCAATGCAGGTAAACCCCACTTCTCTAGCCTCTAAAGGTGTATTAGCGACAGATACAAGTAATTGAGGCCAGCTATCAAAGTCACTCCCATCCCGGACGAGCCCCCATGTGTTACCCACCGGTCCTACTGCACCCAACCCAGGCTGAGCTGGGAAGTAACGAGGAGGCTAAAGACCATGTTGGTCTCTAGAATCTGTTGTGAGTGAGGTTTACCTGTGTAGCACTTCACTAGCTGGACTGTTACATAAATAATTGCAATATTTTCAGTTTTGGGTAAACTATCCCTTTATTAACTTGACCACTATTGACCTAATTCTTCAATGCAGAAGTGTGCTCGTTTGTGTGATTGTTTTAGAACTTCCGATTCAGTTGCCTTTGGGAGAAATGACTAGAAATAATAAACAGCAAAAAGTGGTCAAACTACTCACTCTACAAATGCGTGTTTGCATGCCTATACAGATAAGCAGAATAATATAAGACAATATCAGTTTTCATCATCAAGCAGCATAGCGAGCATTTTTGACATCTAAAAATGAATAGAAGTGAATGAGACCGAAAGCCTTGAGCCAAAAATATTCAAATGGCCACACCCACTCGTATGCAAATAAGGTGAATACACAAAAAAGTGTTCAGTTTCATTGCTTCTGTCATTTATTTTTGCTGAAAGTCAGTTCTTAACATGTTTAATGGCACTACATGCAAATATATATACACAAATTATACAACATGACTATATACAAGTGTGCAAGAAAATGAGAACCATTTTAAGCTACATTTATTTACAATCAGTGCTTAAATACACAGTCACAATAAATTCTCTTTCATAAATAGACATTGCAGACAAAAATCAGGTTTAAAGAGAAAGCAGAATCTTAATTAAAAGTTAAAAAATAAAGTTTTTTTAGAAGCCCAATCATTCAGCCTTATCACAAGTGTAGTCATTGAGCTGTCCCAAAAACAAATCTTAGAGAAGCACACAAATGGTGAAGTTGGAAATCTTTGATTAGGCCGATCTTTCTTCAAGGTTAGCAAGATTTGAGCCTCCTTCAAGGATAGAAATTTGTTTGCCAATATCTATCATGACTGATTGAGCAAGAAAACAAAGGAGACAGCAACAAAGTGCGAGTATTCTTATTCAATGCTCGGAGTAAAGACAGTAAACAGCAGTAAGGCTGAACAAATATTCCCAATCCCCAGTCTGGAAATACATTTTAGAGGATGGCCGAGATGATTTTGTTCAGATTTACTGAAGAGCAACATAACTTGAAATATCTCTGTTTAACTCAACCATTCTCTGTAAAGTTACTGACCAAAGATTTCCTCAAAATTGACCAGCTGCTTGATCTGCTCGGTTTGCATGGAGTGTCGTCTTAGCAGACTCTTCTTGTTCTTGTAATCTCTGGGATGGTTCGGGGCACAGGGCACAAAATGCCTTGATCCGGCAACTATTGGTGCAGTTCCTACCACAGGCTTGCTTCCAACACCAGCATTGGCTTTGATGTCTGGAATAGGTGTGTGAGGATTAAGAGGCGGCAGATAACCAGGCCGCGTTTGTGAGATATGATCTAGGAGAAGGGCTCCGGATCCCCTCCGCTCCAGCATCGCGGGGCTCCTCCTCTGGACCAGACTCTCCAGAGATTCTCTGGATCCAGACAGAGTTGAGGAACGGCTGATAACAAGCTTGCGTTTCTCCACTCCCCCAGTTCCTCCTCCTCCGGTCTTCCCAAGGTCTTCAGAGGGTTGGCTCCCAAACTGAGGCAACTGAGAGTCAGAACTGTAGTGGTCCATTCCAATATTTCGGCGCCGAAACACGTTACGCAGACTTGAAATAGCCAGGTTGGGAAGACAGTCTGGATCCCGTTCAACAGGGAGCGTGTCTGTGATGGATGCCTGCTTGAGATTCTGATGCGAGGTGGAGTGTGGTAGCAACTCGCCATCGTAGGACATTTTTCTACTGAGCCATTTCTGTTCGTTTTTTCGTTCTCTTTCAGCATCGGACGTCATCTCAAACGCTCTTAGCAGACCTGTAGTGTCTTTGATGTCAATGCTTTGGTGCCGAGCTACCATTGCTTTCATCGGAGGTCGGCAACCATTGTACCCAAAGGAGAGCTCCTCCTCAGGGGTGATATCTAGAAGCTCCTCGGTCAAGGATGAAGACTTGCTTTGCTGAAGAAGCAGAGATGAAGGTATCTTCAGCCAGGGCTCCGAATGTAGCCTCTGTAGATGCAGCAGCTTTGCTACGCTTGCTGCTTGAAGAGGGCTTGAAACTTGAGTCGGTGATCCTGGCTTGGATATAGGAAGAGTTTGAGTGGATCCCAGATTGATCTCAGATCGGTTATTGGTTGGTGGTGAGATATGCGGAGTACAGAGTTTGATTTCAGAGGGGCACATACATGAGGCAGGGGCACAGTGCAAGCGGTCCTCGAGATTTGGAGGTGGTGGTACGTTCAGATACTGCTTGGTCATTTGTCTTCCGGAGGGTAGTTTGTCTGTTGTAATGATGATAACTTCTTTCCCCTTGGCCTTGCAGGCATCCAGTAGTACTCTCAGTGCATCTTTGTCTCCAGCGTTAACTGCGTAGACCAGAGCTGAGGAACCAGTGTGGTCTTCCAAACTAGGGTCAGCTCCACTGGAGAGGAGAAGCGACAGCACCTCTTCACCTGCCCGCTCCATGCAGGCATGCATTAAGGCGGTCTTACCAGACTTGTCCTGAATGTTGGGGTCTGCACCATTTTCAAGAAGATACCTGTTGAAAAGATTGATTCGTTAGAGTTCATAATGAACAATATCCATGTTTCAATCCAAAGATGACAATTATAATACATTTGCAAAGAAAGCAGCGTTTCCATCCAATGAGTCAAAGAGAACAAAATCATCACCTAATGATAAACTGGCACCAAATATCAAAAACAAAAATGGAAGTTACTATGAAAGGAGAAGCCACTATGGGCTTTATTAAAATAATAAATGACCTGCGACTTAGAAGGTGAAATTCAATGCACATGCAGAGGCTTTTAGAGACACAAGACTTGTTCTACGTCCCAATTCGCATACTAAACAGTATTTGAAAATAGAATTAGTATGTCCCAAATCGTAGTATGTTGAAAAGAGTTACTATTTCCATTTAAAATGTAGAACCATCCAAAAACGGTAAAAGTGGAGAACCATCCATACTCTAACCAAGGGATGGGCAAACTCGGTCCTGGAGGGCCGATGACCTGCACAGTTTAGCTCCAACACTAATCAAACACACCTGAACAAGCTGATCAGTGTCTTCAAGATCACTAGAAATCTACAAGCAGGTGTGTTTGATTAGAGTTGGAGCTAAACTGTGCAGGACACTGGCCCTCCAGGACCGAGTTTGCCCACCCCTGCTCTAACCGCTGATATTGCCCACAGTACATTGCTCGTCGGACGTGAAATTGATTAGAACTACAAACTTGAGTGAAAATTGTAAACAAACTACAAACATGGTGGACACTCGAGACCAACCGTCAAGTAACGAGGCTTCGGTAGAGTTGTTTGAATGACTGTTATTCAATATCTAGCCAACTGGAACAGATATAAACCGCTTTTTAGGTGTTATATTTCACCTGCAACAAAAATGTGAACCTATACTAAGATATGTTTGGACATTAACTTTTGAATGCATAATTACCCAAACACCTGAGGAGATTTCTCTGCATGAAAGACTTGTGAATGGCAGATTATCTTGCTGCTGCTTCTCCAACAAGGTAGGAAATCAAAATTTGAAAAAAGTATGGATGATTGACTGGGCTCGTAACTAAGCAACACAACAATCTGTTAACTAAGAAGAGTATGCAAGCTTTGGGATGTACTACTTCCGTTACACACTCAAAAGTACATATTTTCCTTCACAAAAAAGTACATACTTTTAGGGTGTAGTATAAATATATAAAATGGAACGCAGCATTGGTCTTTGGGATAGCAGCCACTCAACAGTTGTGGAAGGTAATAATGCCTGATCACTATGATGATGGACTTTAGTTGAGGCATTTTAGAATGACCAAAACAACATTTTAGGTGTTTTACAATGTGGTCGGTCTGCTGGTTTGTCAATTAATGATCTGCCAAATTAAAATCACATGGCCTTTTTGATTGCACATGCTGGAATTTATTCTGTAAAACTGTTTCCATTGTGGTTCACGCCATCAGTTCAAGCAGTTATTTTACTGAGCACATTTTTAAAAATGTGCAGATCATGGCATTTCCAGTAAGCAAATTGGAGTAAAAACAGAAAAATGGGAAACATTGCTATTGGCACATTAGGTTGTCCACAACAAAAAAGAGAACAATGTTCAAAATACATGCAAAAATATACACCTTTTTTGCCAATATAAACAGTGCTCAGCATAAATGAGTACACCCCAGTTAGAAAATTAATTGTTTTTATCCATTTCAATATAGGCAATGAATTTTGGTGCATTTAAACAAAACAGATTTATTAAACAGATACATTTATTAAAATAATATTTAGTCACCAAACATATTTATAAATTAAAAGATAATACAATTCAATTCAAACAAAATATTGCAAAATAAATTACAACCTACAAAATTTCAACAAATTTTTTTTTTTTACTTTTTGCTTCTCATGATTTTTCCTCTTTTTTTAAAATTTGTATTTAATATTTTTCTATAACATATAAATTTGGGTGTACTAGTTATTGAACCGTTATCGTAAGTTATTTTGTTAGATAAGCTCCAGATTTGGCTTCAGTACCAACTAATCTAATGTATATGCACAAATACAATATTGTTTAGCTTCCAATTAAAACTATCAATTTAAAAGAGAGATTTGTGAGAGGTGTACTTAATTGTTTCATGCAATTTTTCTTTTCTTTTTATGTTGAATTACCATCAAAAGAAAATTAAACAAACTTCAGTGTTTTATATTGTAATCAACTTACAGCAGACCCACCTGATGATCTTGGGCTTTGGGACACTCTGGGCATCAGAATGATGACTTTTGCAGGCCACCATCAGTGGAGTTTCACCTCTCTCATTGCTCTCATTGATGTAAGCTCCTCCTTCCAGCAGCAGACGTGTCAGTCTTAGACGGCACAGATACACTGCTTTAAGCAGAGAGTTCCCATCAGTCCGCACTTCTACTGAGTCCTCCATCACTGTATGGTGCAGTGGTTCAGTGGATCATAGGAGCTGATTTCTTGTTTGATTCTGTCAGGGAGGAGATGCAGACTGAGCTCACAAGTTTCTCAAGGTTTTCAATTAAGTGCCTGCCTTTTATCCAATTCATTTGCATCAAAGCAAACCTGATGTCTCTTTGACATTGAAATGTTCTCTTCCTCCTTTCCTCTAATCTTGTGTCTCTCGCTATTCATCGGGTATATGAAAATGCTTGTCATGATGACTATGTAGGTGGCATGTCTAGGCGGTACTTGACAAGAATAAGAAAACTGAATTCGTTATCTAATCCTCATTACATAAGATTAATTAATCGACTCCCATATTCTTTTACTCTTTGCTAAATATTTCTCTTCTTAACATGCAATTATGCAGCATTAACCATGATATTAAGCTGCAAATTAATTTGAACCTGAACACAAAACTGAGCTTATTAGCCAAAAAACTTCTAAAATATTTCGATAGAAGCTTATTTTTGGTTTTGTACTGCAAGTTTTACTCAAAATGTATTTTCTACATAGATTTGTTCAACTTTTTAACAACAAAAGTTGTCAGAGCAGAGATAAAAGTCCCATAATGCAATTTAATAATGTAAATAAATAGAAAATGGCCACAATTTATTAATAACCACTATTCATTTAACAGATATTTCTTTGTAGTGTATATTTTAAAGATAATAAGTCAAATATATTTTGAGAAACGCGATAAATGTTACTGTTTTACCTGATTATTATCATTATTTTCATGTGATTATTGGTGTTAATTGTATTTAAAACCATAATATTTAAAGAATTTTAACATATTAATATATTAATACATATTTATAACAATATTCTGATGTTTTTCTTAATTTTTCATCCCTATTTACTTTTATTGAAAGTGCATTGCTGTAACTTTTTAAAAAGGAAAAGACAGAGATGGGTCAAACTTATCCTGTTGATTAGGTTTATCTTCCACAGTACTTTCTTTAGCATGTTAGTTTGCACCAGACATGCACAGTCTGTTCTTATAAGAGCAATAGCTGTGTTTTTCAGCCGGCTGAATTTCAATAGCTCTGGGCAATCTGTATTTGCCTCATTGAATGATGGCATTCCTTTATACAGTCTATTGTGCGCGTGGCCTTGTTCTCTCAACTGAGAGCGCAGTCGCAGTGCACTCTGCATTTAACAAAGAGCAAGCGCAAGACTGCTTCAGTCAGCTTTATAAATGTGAATTCACTGCAGTTGATGGAAAATGAGTAAGAGGACGAATCTTTTTGTGTCCTCCAACAAAAATAAAAAGATGACAACCTGGGCTGACGCTCAAACGCTTGCTTTTCTTAGAAGTGGAGGCTGTATGTGACAATGTTAACCGAGAGAGTTCGTCAGCATCGTGTTTAAACATTTCCCATTGGAAAAAAAGCAGATTATCCACCTTTTATGACCCATGAATCTTTGTGTGGATTATAGGAATAATTTCTGTCAAACTGTAAACTATCAGTGATACCTTTTTAAAACTGGGTACAATGAGGGCTCTTAATAATTTATTGAATAAAGAATAAAATAAACAAAATGACTTTTTAGAAGGCCACAAACAATCTCAAAAACTTAAAACAAGCCATTAAGTGGTTATAATATGAATGTATATTGCATATTATTGTACAGTAGGGAAAGATACAAAGAGAAAATTATCTGGAGGAGTTTAAAATTGCTTTAGCTACAGATATGCTTGGGATATTAAACTTCATGTTAAAATACACTGCAACTATTTTTATGATGGTTAAAAATAAAGCACAAAGAAAAAACTCTCACTCCATTTTCACTCTATTTATTTCAAATAATTTGCTTCAGTTGGTTTCAGCGGAAGTTCCCAAACTGGATCTTTGGGAATCCCTAATTTAAAATGCAGGACAGCAAATCAGCCATTATATGTGACATTTGCAGTAGAAACTTAAAAAATTAATTCTTGGAATGTATATGTTAACAGTATTTATTTTTTTAATAATTATTTTGATTTCATTTGAATAAATGAATAAATAATAAATAAGCTTATACTTTCGAAAACAATTAATTTGAGTTAAGGGATCAGAAAAAATACACTGTAAAACCTAAAACTCAAACCATTTGAGGAAACCGATTGCAACAAACCATTTAAGTTCTAAAACTAATCCTAATGAGTACTTTGAACTTAATCCGTTTGGATAAACGAAGCAATTTGAGCACAGTAAAACCCAACAAATGAAGAGAACTCAAACCAACTAAGTACTATAAAACCCAATAAGTTAAAGTAACTTAAACCGTTTGAGGAAACCAATTGCTTTTTTAGTTAAACTTATACAAGTACTGTGAACTTACTCCATTTCAGTTAAAGTAATGAGATATTTAATTAACTCATCACCTTCAACACTGAGTTCAAAACTCTTTATAAATGAGTAGAATTAACCTTCAGTCAATGTTGAGTTAACTACACTCATTTCATTTGATACAGTAGACAGTATAGTTACATATATACACATATCAGTCAAAGGTTTGGGGTCTTTTTAAATGTGTTAAAATAAGCTTCTTCTGCTCACCAAAGCTGAAATTATTTAATCAAGAATACAATACAAATTGTACAATTGTGAACTGTTATTGCACTATAAAAAAAACTGTTCAAAAGTAGTCTATAATTTAATCATTTATTCCAGTAGTTTTAATGATCAACTTTCAGCTTTATTACAGCAGTCTTCAGTCACATGATCCTTCAGAAATCACTCTAATATTAATTCATTTATTTATTATTATTAATATTATTATTAAGATTAATGTTACTAGTAATATTAAAAGTAATAATGGCTTGATACATAAAATACTAAAGCAATTAAAATTTAAATAAACATTCAATAGTTTAACATTTTTGGTACATTTAATAAATTCTGCCTTGATGAACAGAATTTTCATAATCAAAAAATATGAAATAAACGACCCCAAACTGCTTTACAGATGACCAAAAAGAATGCAGTATACAAATTATGTCTGTGAATTAAACTGCACATCCCCAAAAAATTAGTTTACTAATTGAAAGGTAAAAGTTCTCTCTCTATAGAACAAGAGTAATTTATTTTATGTGACATTTTTGCATTTATAAGGAAAAAAGCTTTCTCGTGGATATGACATCTCTCCATTACAGATGTGACAGAAATTAACCTCTGTATGATTTTGATAAATAAAATATCATTTTAACATTTTTAACATTTTCATGAAGTTGCTCAGTAGTAATGTGTGGGAAAAGGTGGATAACCCATCATAATTCTAATAATACTCTTATTTTACTCGAGGTATCATGTCTTTTATGCTAATAAATTATTTTGACCTGTCTCTACCCGTAGATTTGAAAAGCCAAACAGTCAAGACAGACTTCTGATTGGTTTGGTACAAGCACACGGCCTGCTGCCGGCAGGACATCTCAGTTCAAGCTGCTAATTCCTAGAGCTCCCTGGGCTGGCATTTAAAAGCAGAGCTTTGTGTGCCATACCCCTAGTCTTCAATCGCCCTTGGGAACAGAGAGAATTTTTAATGACAGGTCTCTCTCTCTCACTCTCTTTCTGACGCTGCTGCATGCTAAAAAGCAGGGAGCAAATGAGGCCCAAAACAGACGAGGGTGGCGATTGTTGCAGCGGCGCTGAAGTGGAGCACCAAACAGAGCACTTGACGCACCTGTATGCATCTGTGATTCATGCCAGATCACGCAATGCTTAATTCTCCTCGCAAATGGTGGGCTGATTTTGTCCCTCTCAAAACACCTGCAGGGAAAATGAAAACCCACTCTCTGTGGTATCAACTGATAACTGAATAAGAATAGTTTTTGTGTGTGTCTTGATTAATGAGGGCAATGAAAGCTTCCTCACTGTGCTTTCGAGGCTTGCCAGGATCGGGCGAATAAATTATGGGAATCCTCAGCTGATATAAAGTTATATTTCCATGTCCATACCATTTATATGCTAAACAGTGAAAGCAGAAAAAGAGCAGCTCCCCTTTTTCATGCATGTCTTTTTTTCAGGCCATTTGTAATTTTTTTTATTTGCATGAAGTATTAAAGGCTAATTAACATATATTTAAACAATTAAAATTAACAAAAAAATAATTATTAGTAATTCATAAATAAATGTTTGCATGTTTAATTTTACACTCAGCTATTTTTTATAACTACAACTAATTTTTATAACTTGCAAATATTATTTATAACCATATAACAGATGTACACACACACACACACACACATATACATATATATATATATATATATATATATATATATATATATATATATATATATATATATATATATATATATATGTATATTTATATATATGTGTGTGCATAGATAGATAGATAGATAGATAGATAGATAGATAGATAGATAGATAGATAGATAGATAGATAGATAGATAGATAGATAGATAGATAGATAGATAGTCAGAATTATTAGCCCCCCTGTTTATTTTTTCCTCCAATTTCTGTTTAACAGAGAGCACATTATTTCCACACATTTCTAAACATAATAACACATTTAATAACTAATTTCTATAAAATATTTAAAAAAGAAAAAAGGAACAATTCAAAGAGGGCTAATTCTGATTTTAACTGTAACTTGTTTTATATTAGAAATTAAATGCTTTTAGTTAAACTTAAATTTTAATTAAAAGGAATTATCAAAGGAAATAAGTCTTTTTGGCACACAAAATGTATATGATTAAAATACAGTAAGAGTAGTACTACTGTGGAATATTATTACAGTTTGTGCGTCAGGCTGTCCTGGAACCGAAAAAGGTCCATACACAATTTATTTATTTTTGCATGACTTTATCTCTTTCTAAAGAGTATTTATCATGAAGTTATGCAAGAATAATTTCAGATTCAAGTCTGACAATAAGGTTTTTTTTATTGTATTGTAACCACTTTCTGTTTTTTAATTCATTTATTTTCTTTTCGACTTAGTCCCTTTATTAATCTGGAGTTGCTATAGCGGAATGAACCACCAACTTATCCAGCATATGTTTTATGCAGCGAATGCCCTTTCAGCTGCAACCCATCACTAAGAAACACCCATACACACCCATTCACTATAGGCAATTTAGCCTACCCAATTTATCTATAGTTGTCTTGGGACTGTGTGGGAAACTGTAGCATATAAAGGAAACCCACACAAACACAGGGAGAACATGCAAACTTCACACATAAAAGCCAACTGACCCAGCCGAAGCTCGAACCAGTGACCTTCTTGCTGATTGTGCTACCCACTGCACCAACATGACGCCCCATTTTCTATATATATATATATATATTTAGACGTAACTTATTGAGGTACACCTGAATTAATTTTTGATTTCATTAATGCAATATCCCTTAGAAATCTTTTTAAAATGCTAATCTGCTGCTCTATTATTGTTGCTCAGTTATTTATAATGATTTTCTAATGTTAAACACAATTTTGGCTGTTTTTTATTTTGTGAAAACTTTTTAAAAAGCTAAAAAATCTGTTTTGTTTTGGTAAGATTATAATGTTTTAAATTTCACATTTGATCAACTTTATTAACAATTTTATATACAGTTAAAGTCAGAATTATTAGCCCCCTGTTCATTGTTTCCCCAATTTCAATTTTCAACACATTTCTAAACCCAATAGTTTTAATAACTCATTTCTAATAACTGATTTATTTTATCTTTGTCATGGTGACAGTAAATAATATTTAACTAGATGTTTCTCAAAACACTTTTATACAGCTTAAAGTGACATTTAAAGGCTTAACTAGGTTACCTAGGCAGGTTAGGGTAATTAGGCAAGTTATTGTATAATGATGGTTTGTTCTAGACTATTGAAAAAATATAGCTTAAAGGGGCCAATAATATTGACCTTAAAAGGGTGTTAAAAAAATAATTGCTTTTACTCTAGCTGAAATAAAACTAATAAGAAAAAAATATTATCAGACATACTGTAAAAATTACCTTGCTCTGTTAAACATCATTTCTCTTTAAAAAAAATTCAAAGGGGGGCTAATAATTCTGACTTCAACTGTATACTGAAAAAAAAAAAAAGAATTTCCACCAAAACACACGCAACTAAACTTAAAAAAATGTAATGTTCCCAAAACTTTTGACAGTTAAAATTATACAAATATATTAAGCCCAAATGCACAGTACATTACCAGCTATTTAGGGAAATCATCTGTATTAATAACACTTTACAATAAGGTTGTATTAGTTAATGTATTGTCTTTGTTAATGATAGCTAATGAAAGTAATGCCGTTAATGTAACTCACAGTTGTTATGTTAACAAGCAAATCTTGAATTTGAATAATGCATAATAAATGTATTAAACAACAATTAATAAATGTGTACACATATTCTTCATTATTATTTAATGTTAGTGAATACATTAACCAATAAAACCTTATTGTAAAGTGTGACCTCTGTATTTGGTGTGAATTATTTATACTCCTATTTTTAAGAAGATGAATAGATCCAAGGTTAAGTCTCATGAAATCGCAATCCACCCATATCACACAAAATCTTTCAAACATGCATAAAAAAGACACAGCTGCAGAGTTCTCAAGTCTCCAAGAAATCCTAATTCAAGAGAAAAGCTATTAATTATACAGTATTAAAAGACAAAATGAGGTCCTTACCTCAAATAAACCAGCTGCTGCTCTAGTTCTCCAACAGCTTGCTCCTCCGGCATGTGCTCATGGTAAACAGAAGAGTAATCCAGGAGTGAGACTAACACTAGAGCCTGAAGTGGCAGATGAATGTGTAGAGATGTGCTCTCACTGAGGATAAATGAAAGAGTGGCACAGGAGAGACACGGAGAGAAGAATAAGTGCCTGTGCTCTCAGGTCTGAAAACAAGCTACTAACCCCAGCACAGCCCATGTGCACCAGGAGGACAGTCAAGCTTAATAGAGCAAGCTGACGCCAGTCTCTGCACATCCAGCGTCAGTAGGTGATCTCTCCATTATTCGCACATTGCCAAAGAGAGTTATTGAACTCATATGCCGAGGCTGTGCGTAGATCCTCATTTGTTTCTAACTCTGATGTCAACTTGCTCGCATGGTGATGACTCCTATGGTGCCGTTACATCATTATGACACAACCGTCTCGCCTTTGAGGCATCAGTTCAGCTCCTGAGGGACGTGCAGGGTGTCTATTGATCTATTGGAGTGATGCAGCTACTATATATAAAACCACAGTGATGGCACTGAAAGGGACAATAGTAAGTCTCTAAAGGTATTAATACTGGGGGGCGTGGGGCGATAGTAAACAGTAGACAAGAGCTGGGTGATATGACAAACATTTCATATCATGATATACTGAAGATCATTACAGATTTGTTCTTTCCTCTTAAATTTTTTATTTTCCCTAAGATAAATTTGAGTGTCCTAATTTTTGTATCGTCATTGTAAGATATTTTGTTAGATTAGATCCAGATTTAGTTTCAGTACCAACTAATCTAATATATATGCACAACTATATTATTGTAAAGCACCCCACGGTCGCTGCTGAACAATTTGCTCTTTCTTTATAAAAGAAGATCTTAGTGAAATGGCATTTGGTTTAAAGAGAAAGCTAGAGGATGTCATGTTTTTCAGATGGAAATACGTAGTGTAGCAGTATTGAGATGTGAATTTAAATTGAAACTGAAAAATAGGCTATGCAAAAGTTTGGGATTTTTTTTTTGTGGATTTCAAAACCTGTAGACACTTAATGCTAATTGAATTCAACACAAAATTGATTTGAGTGACGCCGTGAACATTAATAATCCTAACATAGGTGCAACAAATCATGAAAAAGCATAACAATGGCTGATTGCTAGTTGTGCCTCTCCTTATTGACAACCTGAAAGTAGCAACATGGGAGAAGACCTTCGTAATCACCTAAAAACTAGGATAATTCATCAACATGAATTAGGAGAATGATACCAAAAGCTGTCACAAAGGTTTAAAGTCTCCATCTCCACAGTCAGAAATATAGTAAGAAAATGGAAGGCCACAGAAGCAGTTCTTGTGAAGGAAAGATGTGCTAGACCAAGAAAAAAAATCTGAAAGGCAAAGGCCAAGAATGGTTAGAATAGTCGCAGAGAAACTAGACCACCTCCAGAGAGCTCCAGGAACATCTCAATGCTGATAATGTCATTGTAAATCGTTCCACAGTTCAGCACAGTATTCACAAAGAACAGCTCAATGGAAGGTGATGCAGAAGAATCCTTTTCTGCATTCTGCCAACATGAAGACTCGTTTGAGGTATGCAAAGGCTCATCTGGTCAAGCCTGAGTCATTTTGGAAAATATGCTGTGGACAGATGCCACAACTATATGCGCTTTGCATAACGGAAGAACACAGCATTCCAGAAGAACCTGCTCCCTACTGTAAAATATGGTGAAGGGGCCAACATTCTGTGCAGATGTGTGGCAAGCACAAGTACTGGAATCCTTGTCAGAGTTGAAGGTTGCATGGATTCCAACCAGTATCAGCGAATTCTGAAGAACAATGTTCAGTAATCAGTCAAGAGACTGAAGTTACGACAGGATTGGATGTTTCAGCAGGACAATGACCCAAAGTTTCAGATCTGCCAAGGATTTTATGATTAGACACAATGTTCTAGAATGGCCATCCCAGTCCCTAGACTTCCCCAAAATCTGTGGATTAATTTGAAAAGGGCTGTTCACGCTCGGCACCCATCAAACCTGACTGATCTGAGAAATTGTGCAAGGAAGAATGGCCCAAAATGCCTTCGGCAAGAATCCAGGCACTTATCCTTGACTATAAGAAGCGTCTACAGGCTGTTATTTCAGCAAAAGGTGACTCTACAAAAGGCTGATGTCATTATTCTGTTATAAATGTTGTCCAAACTGACATTTTGAAAACTGAAAATCCCCCGCCCCCCAGGGTATAAAATGTCCAAATGAATTTGCCACCAAAAGGCCACCAGGCTATAGCTTGGAATTCTAAAAATTATCAGGGGTGGCCAAACTTTTGCATAAGACTGTATATACACACAGTATAAATGTACATATATACATACAAGGGTTGGACAATGAAACTGAAACACTGGCCAATTTAGTGTTAAGAGGTTTTATGGCTAAATTTGACCAGGCTGGTGGCCAATCTTCAACAATTTCATATTCCACAAGAGCAGAGAGTGAAGGTTTAATTAGCAGAGTAATAGCACAGTTTTGCTTAAATATTGCAATGCACACATTATAGGTGACATATTAAAGTTGGTGATATTAACCTGGAAACTGCAGCTCTTGATACATCACAAAGACTTGCTGTCTTGGTTACAGATGCGCCAGTGAGGAGCAATTTTTCCTATTCTGAACTAATATGGCATTCATAATGTTGTGTGCATTGCAATAAAAGCTTTGAAAACTAATGATTACAGGTCCAATGTGAATTAATATTATATAAAAACGCTAAAATGTAACGTGCAACATTTTCCATGCTGTTATTTTCATTTCTGATTGTAGTGTAATTTTGCACTCATCCAAATGATGAAAAAGTATAACCATAAACAATGTATTTTGTGACAGCTCACAGTAAATGATAGAACATAACATGAAACTATAGACTTTTTATTTTTATATCAGTACAATAAATATTGTAATAATGCACAGCCCTGCATTGGACACACCAAAATAAAGTAATGCATTTACCTTTTGATATAAAATGCATAAACTAATGAAGTGTAAACGCTTCCCGAGTGTCTAGGCACTCTTTGTACTCTGAAAATAAATTTAAGTGCTACTTAAGGTGCGAGCAAGGTGCATGCGTTGGGGTAATTTTAATTCCAGTCAGGTTTACTTCAGCCTGGTGGTAAACATTCGTAGTACATTAGGCTGACATACCCAAAACCAATCAGCTTTAAAAGGTTGTGCCTGATTGCGCCTTTCTAAAATGAAGGAGTTTGCGTGGGTGAGACTGAAAGTGCTAGTACGGTGACCCTTTTCCAAACTATAGGACAACCTTTGTCAATCAGCCAGTCTGAAGACCATACACAACATGCATATTCATGAGAGCAGTCAGATCTTTAGGCAGGCTTAACAGCAGACACTTCAGTTGCTATTGGATATGGAGATGAGAAGGTTGTCTTTTGCAGGTGGTGAGAGGAAGAATAATCAAGTGGATGGCAGATGTTAAAAAAAAAACCTGTTTATTACTGTGGAAAATGAGGTATGCGGTTTTTGGAATATTTTAAATAATAACCCAGGAGCTAAACAACATATAGATAAAAGGATACTTATTGGGACAATGCAAAAAATACTTGCACAGTAATTATAAACCAATGGGAAAAGTTTACTAGTTTTCAGCTTAGTCTGGTCTGTGACCTTTATTTTCTTCCCTTCTTTCTGTTCGTTGTTTCGCACTTTATGTAGTTAACAGCTCATACATATAAAAAAAAAAGGAAGAATAGCATCTTTTAATTGTCCTGGCATCACAATATATTTTTGGCATTTTTATTAATAAAGAAAATTGAAAAGTGATGCATAAAAGAAGGGAAGCTATAGGGCCAGTACATTACACAAATATGATAATGTTTTTTTGTTTTTTTTTTCTGCATGGGAGATAGGTTGAAGTATTAGCACTAACCGCTAGACCACATCTCTGACCATTGCATCAAACTTTAAAAGATCTTCTTAGTGTTCGATGCTTTCATACACTTCAAACACATACTGAACACCATTGTCCTCCTGCAAGCCGACGGGTACACCTGGAAATCTGAAAATGAGGAAACAAGAAAGAGAAACAGAAAGAACATGAAAAGTTTACCTGCACAGGTCAGGACTGTTATACAAAAAAAAAAAAAATAATAATAATAATAATAATACAGACAAGCAAATGGCATTAACATGACATTTCAGTGACCTGTGGCAAGAAGCTAGTTAATTTAACTTTTAAAAAATTTATATATATTTTTTTATATATATTTATATTTTATTGCACAATAATTGCTGAATCTGTCATAATGTGCAGTATTTAAAATGAATTGACATTACCCATACTAACTATTCCTAAAAGTCAAAAATGATTAAAATCATTGATTAATTAATGATTAAAATCATTTTTAATCCACATCAAATGTTGACTACATTGTTTTTTCACAAAAATGCTCAGCAATTTGCGAGAGCACTAATAAGGAGTTAACAAAGCAATTGTTTGTGGCTTAAAAACAAATGATAAGCTGTTGGTGGGAACTATGAATTTGATTGTTGCTCTGTGTTGCTCTGTGATCATTTTTTCATGAGTTCATGAGAACTTGTAAGGTCAGTTGGCAGAAACAGGGTTTCTGCTGGTTTCACAAAGTTAAATTTAAGACTTGAGGACAATTATGAATAAATTTTGACGTATACATGGCTAAATTTTTTGCTAACATTTTTTAGAATATCACAGTTGGAAAAGATTTTCACTTGCCCAATAAATTTTTTTATATAAAATATAAATAATAATAATAATAATACAATAATACAAATATAGGTCAGTATATTTAGCAGTAAATAGAGAACCTTTAAACTGTTGCCTTAAAAACAAAAAAAAAAAACATGTAAAAAAAAAAAAAAAAGTCACATCTACCATGGAAAATTGGTGAACCCTGCACTAGGCTATTGACACTAACATAAATACTATATTTAATGATAATATTTAATGTGCAAATGAACTGTTGACAATTATCAAATGATAACACAAAGGATCCAATTCTGTCTTAGATGAAATGGCAGTGATCAACATCCCATGTGCGTTTAACTTCTGTTTAAATGCACCTGAAAGATGTGACATTTGGTGCGGTCAATCTTTGATGTTAAGATGCCATTTTTACATAACAAGAGAGCTTTTTCTCCTCACTCATGCAACTCTTTTCAGTGTTCTCTCTGGGTACACAATACGTCTGTTCCATTGCCAATAAATCCATTAATGCTGCTTTATGCAACAATACACCCATACAAAGACATGTATAAAAAAACATTACATTATAAACGAAAGCGTTTCAAAACTGCAAAATTTAAGCCTTGGAAAATAGCCTTTTGAAGTGTAACACTATTGGAATATCAATCATCATCCCTTCAAATCTTTTGCAATACAACCATTGTAAAGGTGCAGTAGGTGATTGTCTTCAGACACATTGTTTGTTGTGCTGGTTGAAAGTCTCTTCACATTCCAATAGTAATAATTAAAGTAAATAATGTAAAAGTATTTATTTGTATTTTTGTATTCTGGGTAAGGTATAAGACTAAAAAAATGTTCATCCAATTAAAATTTGTCGGGCCAACATTTCCCATAATTTTGATAATTGGACCAAACTGTCTGTCAACAAATGAAGATTTGTACATCTGCCCAGCCGTTAACGCAGATCCGCCCATTGCGCGTGCATGTGCGTTCACATGCACACAAGAGAGCGACCAGTAAATACAAATACAGAATCAAAACTTTTGAAAATCCCGAAGCAATATTGGAGTTACTTTTGCACACTGGAGGAAGGAAGACACCATAGTTAAAGTATTTCTTTCAGACAGGTAATATTCTGTTTTAAAACTCTTAGTCAATCGAAGCTTATGTAGATGTATGTTTCGTTTTACGAATGGGTTGTGCGGGGTGACGCAGTGGCGCAGTAGGTAGTGCTGTCACCTCACAGCAAGAAGGTCGCTGGTTTGATCCTCGGCTCAGTTGGCCTTTCTGTGTGGAGTTTGCATGATCTCCCTGTGTTCGCGTCGGTTTCCTCCGGGTGCTCCGGTTTCCCCCACAGTCCAAAGACATGTGGTGCAGGTGAATTAGGTCGGCTAAATTGTCCGTAGTGTATGAGTGCGTGTCTGTTTCCCAGAGATGGGTTGCGGCTGAAAGGGCATACGCTGCGTAAAAACGTGCTGGATAAGTTGGCGGTTCATTCTGCTGTGGCGACCCCGGATTAATAAAGAGACTAAGCCAACAACAAAATGAATGAATGAATTGGTTATACACACAGAAGTGTTGTTCAGCCACTGAAAGCTTCTGGCGAATGATGTGACTATTTTCAGTTTCATAAGGTCCTTTTACAGCATTGATAATGTAGATTTTATTTAGTTTAACAACAAAACATAAATAAATACCGCTATTCTACCTAGCCTGCTTCATACTAGATATAATACAGTTTTTCTTTGGGAATTGTTGTTTTATAAAGTACCATAAAGTTTTATTATTGGCGAATGACTTGATCTAGTGGGTTGTCTACTGTCATCTTTAAGGTGTGTGTTCCTGGTTTCAGAAGGCAAGGCTGGACGGCAGGGGAGGGAGATAGGTTTCAAAGATAGCATTTAGGCAGATCACCCACTGCACCTTTAATTATATTCAAATACTTATTTTACCAGATTTTAATGTAGAAATGGAAACTTTGATTAATATTAGTCACTCACTCAGGGAGTAGCTTGTACTTGTCCATGTCAAAATTGGGTATAAATGTGTCACAGTCAAACTGCTTGAGGATGCGGGTTACAAACAGACGCCTGTGACCAGAGCGCTCCATCACCTCCTAAAGAACACACAGCGCAACATTCACAAACAGCCCATGATTGGATTGTACATGATATCAACAGAATGAGGAGGAAGGAGCATGAGGAAAGAAGTCTTTTGTACAGTTTGCCTTGAGACTGTTTCCATAACAACTGATTATACAGAAATCTGAAACACACGGAGATGTAACTAACATATAAGTGTTTGTATAATGAATATTATACATACACTTATGTAATTGTTGCATGAATATAATTAGTAAAACAGTCATTTTTATCAGCAAACTGTAAAAAAAATACCATAACAAAAATAAATAAACGCTAGATTTCATAAGAAATTAGTTGCATGAAACAAATTGTTCTACCCCATACATATGCACATTAAAATGAGATCAGATTTGCTTTTGGGAAACAAAATGTAATAATAATGATAATAAAAGATCAAAAATTGTTTATAATGGAATAGTTTATAAACCAAAAAATCTTGACAGACCAAGAATAATGACAAAATATAGGAAGACTTTATATAAAGATCACACAGAGTTTCTGCAGGTTTCTTCAAATTGAGTTTAAGACTTTTATGAATAAAACATAAATACATATATAAATAAATGTTTTGAGATGGATTATTGGTGATTAGGTTTCAGTCTGACTGGGTAACTTAACTTGGAAAGTAGGAAAATTAAGACCTGTTTGAAATGATTTAAGGTCTACAACACAATATTTCAGTGAATTTAAGACTTTAAGGCCTAAAATTTAGTTTTTGAAACTTAAGACGAAAAGCACTACTTAACTATCATTTGAAATGTCAATAATTTGCCACCATTAATTTTTTAAATACATATTCATACATTTGGCCTCTTTTTTTAGCAGGAAATCTTTCTAAATAATACCGTTTAGGATGATTGCTAATACGGATCACAGTAAATATGTGGTTTTAATTTTACAAAAATAAATCCGTTTCTCTGAATAAAAATTTAAACAGCACCTATTTTACCCCTTTTTCAAGTAAAAAAAAAAAAAAAAAGTATTTTGTGTCTCCAGAATATGTCTGTGAAGTTTCAGCTCTAAACGCCCATCAGATTATTAATTATAGCTTTGAACACCATGCAGCTGTTTTTGTTGTCTGTGCCTTTAATGCTTGTTCACCCTGCTCACTGTTGTCAGAGTGTGCCTCAATCACTGCCTTGGCTGTGTCAGATAAACAGCACAATGACAGACATGAAGGAAGCATATCTCACGTAATGTGAGAAATACTACAGTTAGAACTTTACCAATGATTTTGTAATGTATTTGTTGTGGAGTTAATTTAGGCCTTTTGATGAGTTACATACAATGTCGTTACAATGTTCACGTGCGCGCGTTTAACTTTGACCTGTTTTTGCAAGGCAAATGTGACAGGATACACGTTAATATCTACTGCTGTATGGATATCCATTATGTTAAGGTCCAAATTAAACCTGATTTAACGTCCACAACCTGGGATTGAATTGTCTTCTTTTATAATTAAAGAAGTAAAATCGCTGTTATACATTACAAACATGCACTGTTTTAAAAATGTTTTAAACCTGTAAAACTCATTCTTGATCACATTTGATGATGATTGATTATCACAGCGAGCTGAACAGATCTTTTAATCAGTTGCTTTGCGCATGTCCTGTCTTGTGGATATGATTATATGTATTACTACAGAGACATGTTAATTTGTGGCTGTCAATCAGATCGGCAGGCAGGGAAACTGCACTCCACGTTTCGGTGGGCGGTAAAATGGGAGGGATTTGGATCCTGTTTTACTATCAGGAAATCAAAATAAAAAAAAAGACTTATTGTCTTTATACAGCATCACCCCAATATGACAGTAAACACTCTTGTGCCGACATACATTCACAATGATTATTAGTAAAATGGCTGAAATGATGAAACTACTGTGCACATAGAAGGGTCAGAGGACCGTTTTAAGGATCTGAAGCACATTTTTAAATTCATTTAACATTCTTCTGCTTCTCAGAAATGACTTGTGTAATTTTACCAACCTTATACAAAGAGCTGCCACCAATTATCCAAACCTGGTCCACTAGTTTTTCGAGCTCGCCACTGTCTAACAGATGGAGAGCTGAACTGAAGTCTGAAGCAAGGTAGTGAGCTCCCTCTGGGGCTGTCCTGTGGAGTGACAGAAAATAAAACTTGTTTACATACAGCATAGTGCTTTAGTGTCTTATTTGATTACTTGAGTTCTCAGCTGAGATCAGTGATACGTTTATTTATTTATTTATTGCTGCAGCAACAACAACAACGAGTTACACTACAAATAACCCTTTAACTTCCTGCTCTACCAAATGATTAACCATGTTCTTAATGTTTTAAATGAATGACTTGTTTTAAATTATGGTTTGCACTACACAGCATTGTTGGTTTACAAAAAATTCAAACAAACAATCCTGTTGCACAACTAGACTTGATTTAGGTTTTATTGAAGAAAAAAAAAAAACGTGTTAAATGAGAATCTGAATTATTTTATGGCATACTTCAAAAAAAAAAAAAGATGATTTAGTCAAAAAGGTTTTATTTTGATCATGTTTTTAATAAATTGGTCTTGCACTTCATATTTGTTTTTCAGATTTTCATAGCATATGTATTAATTCCGGTACTTTTACTATAAACTGACATGTCAACCATTGGGTAGAGGTTGATATTTTATAAATTATGGTATGTGTTGTTAAAAAATGCAATGAGTGTGTTAAGTAGAGACATTAGGGGTTAAGAAATTCAATCCAATTTTTTTTTACTTGGTGGGGCAGTTAAAGGGATAAAACGGAATAGTCTCTACAAACTTAAGTTCATTATCAACAACAAGAGAATTATTAATTAAATTTAAGTAGCCTATAATAAAGAAAATTATAATGAGAGCAATAAGGGGGGAAACGAAAGGGCACATGAAAAGAAAATAAATTAATTAGTGACAGAAAATAAAACTTGTTTACATACAACAGAGTGCTTTAGAGTAAGGTGAAATAAGAGTTTTTAAAGATTACTTGAGTTCTCTGCTGAGAACTATGTTGATCCTGTTCTTTAGAGGTCTGTGCGCTGCAGGAATAGAGAACCATGTCTTTCTGCCCATGATGACCACATTCTTCTTACCTGTTAATAGAAACAGAATGAATGCAACAGAAAAAGACCACAATACTGAGTTCTGGTTAAAGATCTGAACAATCTAATTAAATATGACAAAAAATCTTAGCATGTAAAAGGCATAACCAATATGACAATATGTTTACCCTCATCTGAAGGGGTCATGGTCATCTTCTGAAAGTGCTTGAGTTCATTACTGTAAAAAATTACAAGGGATAAGCAGTGAAATATACATTAAAATTTCTATATTAATTTTTAAAAATAAGTGTATTATAACTTATATAATTGAATATAATCAATTAGTTCACCATAAAAATGAAATACTGTTATTACTTGGTTGCTCTTCAAACAGTTAACGTTACACACCTTCATGAGTTTCTTTTTAATGTTAAACACCAGGAGCATTTGACATTTATATTATAGAAAAGTCAACTTTGTTTGAATGAATAATGACACAATTTTCAGTTTTGTGCGAGCTATCTCCTCAAGATTAGCAATAATATGGCACGAGTTTGTCTGTAACTTGACGTTAGATGTGTAAGTTAAGGTTTTACTATCATGAGTTAAATGTGCTGAATGTGGTCATTTACATAACGGAGTAACTTACAGGACAAAGGTCAAGCTCAACTTTAAAAACTCTGTGCGCTCGTAAAAGTTTCAGTTCAGCTAACGTAACATTCTTAACGTTCCTCCCCTTCATTCTTATTATGCTTTATTTATTGTCAAAATATTAATTTTAATCGTGATTAACTTCTGTGCCCAGTTAATAAACTGTCTCTACATCTACTTACATCATATAAAGGTGTAACAATTTAAGAGCTGTTGCAGATGCAAAATAAACAACACGAAGCCCTAAAAACCACAGAAGCCTTATATTATTGAATCAAGAAGATTAGCTTAAGAGTTAGCAATAACGTTAGATAAAAGCGAATTTACAAACACTTCTCGCTCACCTTAGTCTTATTGGATGCCATGGCAGGTTTCCATTTTTCCCTATTCCCATGTCTGGACAAACAGCTACAATACAGTTGAGTATTCGAGACATATTTATTTTGTAAATACAGTTAACAAGTCACGCTGGCTACTACGCACGGTCTCGCCTTCTTCCCGCCAAGGGGATTCACGAACAAGTACGTCGAACGCCTGGCTTATTGATATGCATTACGCACTGGGACGCTCGAGAAGTGATTTGCTGTTAAAATTCATTGGCGTCAGCAATCTGGCCAATAAGGCTGTGTTTATTCTGGTTTAGCTCCACCTCAGAAGTGTGTGTTAATTTCCATATTTTAAAGACATGGCTTGGTACATATAATTTAATGCAGTGCTTCTTGTTTAGTCTGATGCCCACTTTATATTGAATCTATTGTATCAGCCAGGCAGTAAAGATCGCTGTTTATTTAAAAGAAATTATATCTTAAACGCAGCGATTTTGTATGGGATGACAATTAACTGGAAACCCTGGGGCTGGCTGACTAAAATTAAAGGTCTGAGTACATTAAAAAAGTCCATTGCAGTCAATTATGTAATCGATTCCACTACTCCAAAATTAGGAGCCGAGAATCTCAGCTCCAAAAAAACAGCAACCGAACACACCCGTCGAAAGTGAACAGAAGCACAGCTTCTATGAGCAAACATTTTGAGGTACAGCTTTAAAAGCATCATTGGATAGATATATAAACATTATACACAGGCCCGTAGCCAAGAGGGGTTTGGGTGGTTCAAAAGACCCAGCCCTCTTCTCACAGAGTCCAAAATTTGGCCCCTACAGTACATGAGCTCATTTGTCCCATTTTTGACAGTATGTCATCATAAATTGTGAAAATAGCCAATAGAAGAAGGCTTTAGGAAGAATAACCAATAAAAGAAGGCTTTTATTATCGAAATGGACACATTCTGACTGAGGAAATGAGCTGGCCAGTTTGTTATTTGCCTGCAGGCAAGTTTTTAATTTAAAACAAGTTTTGTTGTTGTTGGTGTTGTTTGTTGGTTTTTGTAAGATGGATGATAATAAATTATCATTTAAAAGTATGCATGTTGTCATATTTTTAAAATTCTAATCTGATTACATTATATATAGAACTGTAAAAACTTTTGTAAATAAACATAACTTTTTGTAAACAAAAAAATAGTATAATAAGCACTTTGACAAAAATTTTGGAAGCACTTTTGTTGCATCAAAAAGTGTGGTATCGATAACCATCCGCCATACACAAATTATTGCTTAAAATGTCACTAAAATGCAGTATTTGAACCTTGAATAACTGCAAATAGGTCCACTCTGAGAAAAAAGAACCACCCTTTTAATAGACTGGCTAAGGGCCTGATACAAATATAGTTTATTAGGATACAGGCTTTTATTATGCATGTTATTTTGTATAATTGTACATCATTTGTTAATGAATTAGCCAACATTAACAACCTGTAATATGTTTTACAGTATTTACTGATCTTTAATGACTTTTGTTGTTAACTAATGTACATAACTAATGTAACAAATTAAACTGTACTGTGATTAATCACCATTTTTTAAACAAACAATGTTTCACCAACTCATCTTTCGGTAACATAAAAAACAGTGAATGGCTTTAAGGTCTTAATAAAAGAGCAGATGCATGTTAAATAAGATTATTTAATTGTTCTTACCTTTTGCTTTTGCATAAAAAACTGTGTTCAAATATAATAAAGTGCTTGATAATTTTCAAAAAGTGTGCTTTAAATAAAGAAACACTAAGATACGTTTAATATTGCAACATTAGCATAACATTTACCTTTGGTTAAAACATGGCCAGTGCAGACTGTAGTAAACACATCATTAACTGTGGCTATGTGTTTTCCTAAATCAATAATGTTTATTATGCACATTTAACACATGACTGGAAATGCTTAGCGTAGAGATTAACACATTTTATACAATATAGAAAAATCTAAAATAGAATCAAAATCTCACTTTTTCAGTCTCATCAGGGCCTTTTCCTCCTGCGTCTCATGTCCATGTTATCTGCAGCGTATGGCGCCTCCTTTTGGTCTTGCTTTGTAACTTTGTAATATTGCTCAAACTCATTTCCCAGCAGCCGCTCAAATCCAAACAGGATAAGCGCCTGCAAGTGTTTACAACATGTACTACAGTGTCCATAGTGATATCTGAGCGGTTCAAGCTAGCAGATCTCAGGCACTGCAGTGGGGGATTGTCCAGAGCGTCGAGGGGTTTGGCCGGATGATTCAGGACCAGTTTGAACACAGGGTCCAGTCGACAGGGAACAGCGATTAAAGAGAGCTTCTGTAGGAGTGATGCACCCCTAAGTAGAGCCCATAGAACATCCTTTAAAGACGTCCAACACAATGGCGGCTTCATCTGCCGCTCATCCAGGGAAAAACTTGAGGAAAATGGACACAGGACAGAAAAGAATAAACAGAATAGTCAGTATAATGGTAAAGGGTTTAGCAGAATGAAAACATTTGACTTACTGTAGTGTCAAAGAACGGAGGTGAGGAATGCATGGTAGATTAGAAAGACGTCCTTCGTCTTCAGCATCCTCATCCTCATCATCTTCATCCATATTACTGTTGGGTGGATCTAAATGAATGCTGAGAGAGGTGAGTCTGGGACAGGCACGAATGAGCTCCAGAAAAGCAGTGTGTCCGTCTGCTTTAATGCCTTCCAAGGAAAGGGAAAGCAAATTTGAACCTGCTGCTTGAAGCGCTGGAACCAAATCAGACAGAAAACCAGCAAACTGTAGAGAAAGGCTGTTCAACTGTCCAGAAAATCTTCCAAGTCCTCTGGCTAAAACGGCTCCATGTTCGAAGCTGTCAGCATTAACAATATTCTGGAGACAATCCAAAGACAAGACACGCAGCTCCGGGCAGACCTTCCCTACAGCCTCCAAAGTGTCTAAAGACAGTCCTTGAACATCCTTAAGACATGTTGTCACATTATCACTTACAATGTGACTCCTAACTTTTTCATCACACTCTTTTGAAGTCCCTGTCCATTCATTTACCCTAGATTCACTCTCGTCTAACGATAAACATTCATCTAGTTTTCCTTCCAAGGTAAACCTCTCTTCTCCGTTAGCACTCATTGAACTCCTGCCATCCAGTGTCTTCTTTGCCCACAAGTCTTTAAGACATTGCACTCCTTCTCGACTAGTGAACTCCTCAGTCCCCTCAAACTCCCTATTTAATATGAGAACACAAGCCTGTCCCAGTCCCTCCACTGCCAGCCTCTGAAGACCAGGCAAGCTAAGCAGAAGAAACGCGACTGCAGATACGGCATCTCCCTCGTTCTCTGCTAAACCGATATCCAGAGCAAGCAGACTGCTGATGGTGTTTGTGCTGTTGACATGGGCTTCTCGGTAGGCCAGAGGGAGCAGGCCTGCAGGGGTGAGGTGCAGACACCGTGACACATCCAGGTGTTTCAGTTTGGGGCACTGGAGGGAAAGCACGGACATCACTTTCTGATCACAGAGGGTTCCAGCCAGGGAGAGGGAACGGAGGCGATGTTGACTGCCCAGGAGCTCACACAGCACAGATGCAGAAATGTTCTGTGAACCACTAAGATCCAGAGACTGAAGATTCTGTGCACAAAAAGAAAAATCAGCATATTAAAATGATTTCTGAAAGATTGTGTAACAATGAGGAGAAGGCTGATGAAAATTTCACCACAGTTTCCACCACAGCATTTACTACATAGTAAAATATATTGAAATGGAAAACATTTATTTTAAACTGTAATTATATTTCACAATATTACTACTTTACTGATCAAATAAATGCAACTTCAGTAACATTAGAGACTGCATGTAATTATAATGCTATATTATGCTATGTTATTATCTTTTGGTTTACTGATATTTCCCAAATACGCTAACGATCAAATGTTTGGGGTCAGTAGGATTTTTAAATGTTTTAAAATAAGCTTCTCCTGATTACCAAAGCTGCATTTTGTTTTATCAAAAATACTATAAATCGTAAAATTGTGAAATGTTATTGCACTATAAAATAACTGTTCAAAAAAGTTTATAATTTAATTTAATAATTTATTAAAATGATTTAAAAGATGAAATTTTAACCTCTTTACTCCAGTCTTTAGAGACACATAATCCTTCACAAATCACTCTTATATTAATAATAATAATTATTATTATTATTAATAATAATTGTAATAGTAATAAAATCAATAATGACTGGAGTAATAATTTTATTTGAAACTACATACAACAAGAAAGCAGTTATTTAATTTTTTTATAAATAATTAAAAATTTTATTTTATTTTACATTTAATAAATGCTGCCTTGATGAACAGAATATATATTTTTTTTAAACAAGAAAAAAAACCTGACCCCACACTTTTAACCGGTAGTCTATCCATGTAAATGTTTTGTCATTTTCCTACTCGTATATGACCATCAGAATTGAACTAACAGTGATTTTCACATATTTACATATTATACTTTCACATATTCAATCAGCTAGAAATGGCTTATTCTGCACAGTATGTGTCACATTGTTTGCGTGCAACCAACTTAAAACATGTTGTGTGACAATAAATGCATTTTGATCACACATAACCAAAGCTTTATCAAAACTTAAATTGATATTATTTTGCTAAACAGCAAAAATAAATCCAAGGCACTTGGAAAATGTGAAAAAAATATATTAAAAAGCATTTATTGACATGGCTTTTCCTTGACACTGCACCTAAACGTTTAGGCAAACACTTTCTTTCATTAGGGTAACAGAGATCAGGTGCATCTGGAGTTTGTTTTAAACACTATTTACTAATTACTCATCAGAATATCTAAACAATACTAAAATAATACAGTGCTCAGCATAATGGAGTTCACACCATATTGAAAATGAAAATTTTACTCCATTTTTCAGTGATTATAGGCAATGTAGTTTGGTGCATTTAAACAATCATTTTGTTTTATAATATAATAATATATCTATTTAATAAATATATCTATTTATTAAATAGATATATTTACTAAAATCAAATTTCAGTCACCAAACATATTTAAAAAATTGAACGATAATACAATTAAATTCAAAAAGTTCAAAAAAAATATACAACCTACAGTATTTCAACTAAATTTTTCAATTTTTTTGCTTATCTTGATTTTTCTTCTATTAAATTAGTATTTAATATTTTTCTGTAACATTTAAATTTGGGTGTACACGTTTTTGAACCGTTATCGTAAATTATTTTTTCAGATGAGCTCCAGATTTGTACTTCACAAAATATAATATTGTATAGCTTCCTATTAAATATATGAATTTAAAAGAGAGATTTGTGAGGGGTGTACTTATATATGCCGAGCACTGTATATTGGACACAAGGTCAGCTCAAGAATCACTAATAATTCAGCATTGAGAGATAAAAAAATTGATAATGAAAACAAAATGAAAAAGTTAATGAGTGTTATACAATATTTTGCTGTTTATTCTGATGAATCCCTTGCCAAAAGAGCACTGATACATTAGTTAAGCTACCCCTGAGCACTTTCTGTTATTTTGCAAGCATTGCTGTTTATTACTGGAAAGTCCAATCTAATTGCCATACTTAGTGTTTCCTTTCTGATCCTAAACATTTTTATGTTTGCACAAACTATGTTGAGGAGGTGTGTGTGTTTAACCTGGCAGCGTATCTGGATAAGAGAGCAGAGGCTGGCATTGACAAGGCTGCAGGCTGATGCGAGGGACAGACTGCTTAGCTGTGGGAGGAGAAGAAGGTGCAGGGCTGCTCGTGTCAACAAATTCCTTGAGGACAGGATACACAAGAGCTCCTCTAACAGTTCACCAGCTGAAAGAGAACAATGCAGATAAGATGAACACTTCAGTAGACATAATTAAACAAGCACAAGTCTTTGCAATCCTCACGTAATAAGCTGAAGGGACCCATGATGTATCTGAAGAAATACTGGTCCATGTATTTCTGGGCATAATCTTTCGCCCACAGCTCCTTCATGTTCTCGGCCAGGCTTTGAAGACAAAGGCCAATCAGAGTGGAAGGTTTCTCCTCATCCTCAGTCCAGTGTTTTTTCTTCCGCTGAGATTTCCTCTCTGGGGTGGGCTCAAGTTGCCGGAACAAGGGCATATTTCACTCTGATAATAACTGACAAGAGATAAGGACAATTATCATGACATGGAGCACCGTGGGCTTATGGAGCCACACCTCACCTGGAAAGATCAGTTTTCAATGTGAAGTTCTTATATTTAAAAAAATAGCAACTAGGTATTGTATAAAACTACTTGGAAAGCATAATTAACCGAACTGCTCACTGACTAGAAAGTTAAAACAGCATAAATACAGCATGTCACGTCAGAAAAGTAAATAAACGTATGTCTTACAAACAGCCTGAAGTTGCACTTTGTGCCTCTTTCAGTCTAATGTCATTCAAACACTCTGATAAACCGTACATAAATATATTATTAAGCACGCAGTAACAACATTCACAGTGAAGTTACACTTACTAATGAACTACTGTATGAACAGCACAACAGACCTTTGCTCTAAACGCCCCAACGCGTTTCCTCGCCCAGCAATAAAGTGTGTTTTCACGGGTTTATAAAATTCTACAATTGTGTATGACTAAATAGTTTACGGAGATGTCTGCAAAGTGTAAATACAGTATTTTATAGTTCTTCTTTCCTCGTTATGTGAAGTAATGGGAGTGTCAAATGCAGTAGAAATGTGAAGCAGCGCTTCAGTGTAGCATGAGCCCCACCTAGTGCTTTGGAGATTACCTGTGTCCAGTCGTTAACCTGGAGTAGAAGATATGATTGGATTTGGCACTGTATTTATTTTGCATTTCAAGTTCACCGTCGGGTTGATAAATTGTTATTACACCGTTTTATTTTAAATAGCGTATGTTTAGATGTTATATTTATGTACAGTAAATAGGGTACTTTATTTGTTCAAAATAGGCTATAATCATTTTTAAATGCCAGGTGCAGCATGCAAATAAGATCATTTTACTGCATTAAAGATACAATAGACTAACAAAAAAGGGGTTTAAAAATAAACTGTTAGTGAAAAACTGTGTTGAAAAAGGCTTTTGCATTGCAAAGAACCTGAAGAAATTTTTCTTTTCTACTATAAGGTGTCTTTTCTGCAGTTGAAAGGTTTAGTGGATGTTAAAGGTGTTTTGCTTAATTTTTTGGAGGTAGGGGGGTTTTGTAAATTCAAAATAAGATTTTCAGTTAAATAATAATTAATACAAATTGTACTGTTTTAATTTGGAACTGATTACTTCTTAATTTTCATTTCAAAATACACAAATGCTTTAATTAAATGTAATGGTCCTACAAAATGAATGATTTATTCAGTTCAAAAATAAGTTATGTCATGTCTTAGTTAATGAGGTTGAGAATAGTCAAACTCAAATTAGTAAGGAATGCAACTACATGTTGTATTTCTGCTAAATGAATTTCTCTTGAGACAAAGTTTAGAGAAAATGAAGTCAAGACACCTTTGTAGATGTATAGTTATGCAGCACGAGCGCCATCTAGTGATTTTAAGCTGACTTATTTTGTTCTTCTAAAGTATATCAGATATTACAATGTCTGTATTTATTTTGATGATAACCCAGAAATAAAAGGGAAAAAATTAAAGATAGGGGATAAACATAATGTCCTTTTTGCTTGTAAATATTATGATTTATTTTCATTTTTTAATTTGGTTTATTAATAAAAAGTTAAAGTAACTTGTTACCCCTTTAGTTCAAATTTTCACTCCCTAATGCATGCATAATAATTCTTAAACAACAACAATAACAACAACAACAACATTAACATACAAACGAGTCAGCCACAACACAAACCACAAACATTTAAATGTTAATAAAGGTATAAATAATATACTTTAATAAAATTAAGGTTATACAAATGCAATAAACAGATAATATTAAGATATTGTAAGGCACAACATTTATTAAAAAAGAATTACATGGCTAATCCACTGAGCTGGGTTTGCAGGCGAGGGTTTCACAAATTTCACAGATGTAATTAATTTGTATATTTAAAAAAAAAAGTAAAACTATTAAAATGTATATAAAAGTAAGTATAAAATATACATGAATAAAATATGCACTTGAATAACAAAAAATGCTGTAGAGAATATACAAATACAATAGATTAACATCATGCTTAACTTATTCGAAAAAGCATAAGTAAAAGCCCTATTATAACAGATCCTTCACCCAAATATACTGTACCAATACTAACTCACAATCAGCCAAGGAAAATCAGGCATAATACAAAAAACACTACTCCATTACAAAAAACTCTTCCCTGTTTAGATGGAAATTATCAAAATGAGTGAAATTGTTTGATTAGATATTTTAATTATAGATTTTCTGTTTAGCTCTTCTCATTGAAGAGTCCATGAGTGCCGTATGGGATGTCCACTGGAACTTCTGCTCGTCCGAGCTCTGTGAACGTCTTGGCATCAAGGACAAGTAGGAAACTGCTCTTTTTCTGAAGAGAATACACCATGACTTGTCAAAACTAAACTCTTAGACTGAATGCTGACAAAATATTGAAGTAAAAGAAAAACTGTGTCTGATATATTTCTTTTTATGCATACTAAAATGCTTCTGCAATTTTCTAGTAGTGGATAAAGAACACAAATCAAGTATTTGGTAAAAGTAGATGCACTAATAAAAATATTTCTCCAGTAAAAAGTTTCTCCAGTAGAAAGTCTTCATTTTCAGTTTAACTTCAGTTAAAGTAAAAGCCTAGTTTCATTTTATTACCAAATCTTGTCATATATGAATAACCATACCAATACTGTAATAAAGTAAAAAAATAACATATACTGTATAACTAAATACCAAAAATAAAAGAGCCACCAAAATGTGTGAATATTTTAGGAGGAATGCTATGTAACCATCATTTTATGAGGGGAAAACTTCCTAATGTGACCTCATCAATGCATTTTATTTTAACATTATGATTAGTTTTTAATAAAAACCTGGTAATACAGAAATATAGACGTGTCCACAGTCCAACATTTCATACTGGGCTTAAATACTGTAAATAATCCTTTTACGGATTTACTACATAAACAACTGAGTCACTAATATATGATTTTCACTTACAATAATGAATCCTAAAATAAAGTACTGACCCCAAAAACACACTTAAGTGCAGTAAAGATGTTAAAATCCAAATTTTCAGCCCCTTTTCTTTTCAGAACATTTGTCAAAATGAAGCTATATGCAAGCCTGACTATTAATAATAAATAACTAACAAGAGAACATCAATAGCCCTAAAGACAACGTGGAATTCATGACATTATAAAACTCACCTCTCTAGGTGTAATAATCACAGACATGACCACGCCATCATCCTCATCCTGAGCATCAGGTGCTGGAATAAACACTGGTTCTGAGGGGAACATACCAGCCTGGCGCCACACCTACGACCAAAAACACAGATCAAACCTCATATTCTCAGCTAAAATCAACTTTCAAGCGGAACTCAAGCATTTAAAAGATGCTACCTTCAGCTTCTTTCCCTCCAAATCCATCTTAAGCAGAGAGTCACCAAACACATGACCAAAGCCACAGGCATAGAAATACCGATAAGGACGAGCGTTGTAGTTAGCGTAGTTTATCTGTGGAAACTCAAGACCACCGTACTGCAACAGGTCATCATTGTAGAGATCCTCATGGTAGAGGAACACCTGAAATTACCAAGAAGAAAAAAAAGTGAGATATATACAGTATATATTGTATACATTTACCGGCCACTTTATTAGATACACCTTACTTGTACCAGGTTGGTACTTGTACCCCCTTTTGCCTTCAAAACTGCCTTAATCCTTCTTGATATAAATTCAACAAGGTACAGGAAATATTCCTCAGATATTTTGCTGCAGATTTGTCGGTTGCACATCCATTATGCAAATCCTCCGTTTCACCATATATCAAAGGTGCTCTATTGGATTGAGATGTGGAGGCCATTTGAGTACAGTAAACTCATTGTCATGTTCAAGAAACCAGTCTAAGATGATTTGTGCTTTACGTCATGGTGTGCTATCCTGCTGGAAGTAGCCATCAGAAGATGGGTACACTGTGGTCATAAAGGGATGGACATGGACAAAGGTTACTGTTGCTTTTCCATCAGTTCAAACCAGTCTGGTCATTCTCCTCTGACCTCTGGCATAACAAGGCATTTGTGCCCACAGAACTGCCGCTCACTGGATATTTTCTCTTTATCAGACCTTTCTCTGTAAACTCTAGAGATGGTTGTGCGTGAAAATCCCAGTAGATCAGCAGTTTCTGAAATACTCAAACCAGCCCATCTGTCACCAACAACCATGCCACATTCAAAGTTCCTTAAATTACCCTTCTTCCCCATTCTGATGCTCGGTTTGAGCTGCAACAGGTCATCTTGACCATGTCTACATGCCTAAATGCATTGAGTTGCTGCCAAGTGATTGGTTGATTAGCAATTTGCGTTAACAAGCAGTTGGACAGTTGTACCTAATAAAGTGGCCGGTGATGTATATATGTGTGTGAGTGTTTATATATATTCTAATATTTTTCCATTCCCCCTTCATTCGATCTTTTGCTCACATACCCCAGTTTGAGTTTTCACAGCGCTAGCGGTGGTGTATGGCAAATTGATGAGGTTTTGGTCATTGGGTTCATCCTCCTTCACCTCCAGAGGCAGTACATATCGGCGTGGTAAGTTTGTACACAGTGAATTGAAAAACTGAAAAAGCCACACGTTGCATTATCAGCATTATCATCATTCTGACCATTTGACATGCAATGGATCGAGAAAGCATTACCTTGTCGAGATCTTCCCCGGTCGACTGTAGATTCTCCAGTGTGAATTCACCAATCACATTGCCATCATCTCCGCAGCACATGTCCATGATCAGATATCCATTCTCTTCATATGCATTAATCTGGTGCAGGGCGAACATGGCACTGCTGTAGTATTTTGTGTTAAGGAGCTGCTCAGACGAAAGCATGGATTTCAGAGGTTAAAAGGCCAGTAATTAGATGTCAGTATGATGTTGTGATAAGGTCTGCATTACCTGGCCTGTGTGTCGGTCTGCCACATGAAAGATTGTGTCTAGTTCCGGGTTCCAGGACATGACCTTATGAAAGCTCTTTCCAGCAATTCTGTACAGCATGAACTTTAGCAGGTCCAGTTTTATCGGCTGCTCAATAAAGACTATGTAATTCTCTGACATGACTGCACACAAAAAAAGAAGAACAAAAATGTAATGTTTTAAATCTTTTCTTGCGTGTACAACGCTCGGCAAATATAAGTACACCTCTCACAAATCTCTCTTTTAAATTCATATTTTAATAGGATGATATACAATATTATCATTCATTCATTCATTCATTTTCTTGTCGGCTTAGTCCCTTTATTAATCCGGGGTCGCCACAGCGGAATGAACCGCCAACTTATCCAGCAAATTTGTTTACGCAGCGGATGCCCTTCCAGCCGCAACCCATCTCTGGGAAACATCCACACACACATCCACACACACACTCATACACTACGGACAATTTAGCCTACCCAATTCCCCTGTACTGCATGTCTTTGGACTGTGGGGGAAACCGGAGCACCCGGAGAATACCCACGCGAAGGCAGGGGTACATGCAAAGTCCACACAGACACGCCAACTGAACCGAGGTTATACAATATTATATTTATGCATATACATTAGATTAGTTAGTACTGAA